GAATACCGTGACTTGTTGAAAAAAAAAAAAAAAATGTTTAAAATTCCTCACTACTTAGACAGCTAGCTGTTACATTTAACATCATATCAATTTGCTTAGAAATGAAGAAATGCTCAAAATAATGAACAAAAGAATTCGGAAAAATGTAATAAATAAATAAATAAAACTAATGCAATAGCCAATAAACCTTCCCTATCCCCAATCCCAAACTTTGGCATCAACAAAGCCTTTCTTTGCCTGCTATACTATCCGCGTTTTGTACGTACATCCATATATAGATACAGAGATGTATCCCTCAAATCCACAGTGAAAAGATTTCATTTTTAGCCCTGCCCTCAATTTTCCACCTCCACCACTACTCTCTCACAGAGTAATCTCCAAAAGGGCCCAGATATTTTTTTCTTCACATCTCAGCCCCAGAAAGAAAAGAAGTGATTAAATTCGCAAAAAAAAGCGAAGAATGTTGTGTTTCAAGAATAAAGTTTCTTCCTTTCTGATTCTGACAACGTTAATCCTTGTGTTCTTCTCGCTCTTTGCGTCGTCAGGTGAGTTCCCTTTGTTTTATTACATCAATTGGGTTGTTGTTCTGATATGAGTTCTTGTTTCCAAGTGATTCTTTTATCCTCTTTGTTCATTATTGTCTTGAATCTTGATATGCTTAGCAGGAGCGGCCCAAAACGATGTCGTTCCAAGGGGAACTCAGAGGACTGTCTCGGAAGGTTCGAACTCAACTGATTTAGTGTTGGCTAGGGAAAGAACGCGCAGACAAGACCCACTTGAGGATCGCCGTTATTACAACGGGGGTTGGAATATCAGTAATGAACATTACATTTTTGTAAGTTTTCATTCTTCCCTGTATTATTTTAAATTCTTGCACTCTTTGATTATTATTATTTTTTTTTTCGTGAATCGAGACATTTTATGTTGTTGGAGTGAAATTTATGTTGTTTGCTGATTTCGGATTCAAATGTTCACAAATTCGTAGTCTTTATCTTCAGCGGTGTTATTTTATTTTCTTGTTGTGGCCTTGTGAGCTGTAGTTGAAATTTTGAAACGGGTTTGTGAGGTTGATAAACAGAGTTATTTTGACATTGTGTTCATATGGGTCTATATTTTTATTGTATAATATATAGTTGACACTTGATCCTGTGGATTCTGTTATGCCATGTGAACTTCTGTTGGGCTAATACTTAGGGGTCATCTTGCTGTTTTTTCACTTATTCTGAAACCCCTTATTCTCGGGCTAATTAAAGAAAGATTAATATTAAAGAAGTCGGATTTTCTTCAAGAGCAACCGAAGAATCGATGTTTAGTTACTGGTAAAACTTGCTCTTAGAGGCCTGAGTGTTTTTCTTCTTGATATTAGAGGAAAACTTGCACCCTGACATGGTTATTGCTATAGAAGATAATTTTGAGATTATTGTTTTCTTGTCTTTATCTCGGAGCTGATAAAACATATATGTGGCCAGTGATTTTGGATCCATTCCATAATTCGAATTCAGACAGTGATTTTTTTTCCCTTATGTCCTTTTCTTTTCTCTATCTGTCTCTCTTTCTTTTATATGCAGCAAAGTGTTAGGACTGCAGCCTTTGTATGAAACTTAGCATTTAATCCTAACTTGAACACGATCATTTTCATGGGGAGGGTTTCTTGCTCGTCTCTGATCTGAAAATATTTCGGCTTCCAAAGTAAATTATTTTGCCATTATCTAACATTTTCTGTTTTTCAATGCAGTCTGTGTTGTATACCGGCTATCCCCTTTTCTTTACCGCTACGTTATGGTTCATTTTGTTCGGTATATTCTTGCTGCTTGTCTGCATGTATGTTTGCTGCTGTAGGCGTAGGCGCTATGGCTATTCAAAATTCGCTTATGCATTGTCTCTTGTCTTTCTCTCTCTATTCACAATTGCTGCAATGTAAGTATAATACTATTACTATCCTTCTTTTCCCTTTTGTTTTCTTTTCATTCCCAAATGTAAATTCAAGTTTTTATCCTTCAAACTTATTGCTATTGCATTATATTATTATTATTATTATTTTTTTTTTCTTCCAGAATTGGTTCTGCTGTACTCTACACCGGGCAAGGGAAGTTTCATGAGAGCACGAAAAGTACACTCGAGTTTGTTTTACAACAAGCAGACTCAACAGTCGAGAACCTACATAATGTGTCGGGTTATCTCACGGCTGCCAAGAATGTTGGTGTAAATCACGTTTTTCTGCCTCGACAGGTTCAGACCAACATTGATAATGTCGATGGTATGATTACAACTGCTGCCAACACACTTGAGAGTGCAACCAAGAATAATAAAGATGATATATTCCGCTATTTGGATGCTGTGTAAGTTTATTTAGTTTCATTTTTTATTTGTGGAAATGATATGGCTTTTTTGATAAAATTTTCTGAGTGTTTTATGTTGTTTGGTTACTATGATTTGCAGGAGCTTAGTTCTTATTGTGGTAGCTGCTGTAATGCTTGGCCTCGATTTACTTGGATTCTGTAAGTCTTATGTTACATAAGTTTTTCTTCTCCTCCCTACAAAACCCCAATAGTTGCAAAATGTAAACACACACAAGTGGATTATTTGTAATGGAGAACGATAGTTTACATTTTTCTTCTCCCTTGAAAGTTAGGTATTGACTATCGAGAGTAATACTCGCAACCACCCCTTAAAAGAAAAAAGCTGCATAATAGTATTCTCTTATGATTCTGTGATATTTGTCATATTCTTTCATTGCAGTGCTATCAATTACGGGTCTGCAGTTTCTCGTATACTTGTAAGTGCATTTGTAAGGACAATATTGCCTTTACCTTTTGCCTTCCTTCTGGATATTTTGATTGATCGTGAAAAACTCGCGTGATTCTGTTTTTGCAGCTTAGTCTTCTTCGGTTGGATTCTCGTTGCCATCACTTTCTTTCTGTGTGGCATATTTCTCGTTCTCCACAAGTAAGTTTTCTACACGATAATGATGCCTTGGATCATGTTATTTATTTGTTCTCATCGATAGAGTCTAATTTAGCACAATTCTTATTTTTATGTAAAAAAGTGTGACGGGAGACACGTGCGTGGCAATGCACGAGTGGGTCGATAATCCAACGGCTCACACGGCACTAGACCGTATCATCCCGTGCGTGGACCCCGCCACTTCCCAAGAAGCACGTTCGCAGAGCAAAGAAGTCACGATCCAGATGGTCCAGCTCGTAAACGGGATTATTGCTAATGTATCTAACCGTAACTTTCCCCCTAATGCCGGACCCGTTTACTACAATCAATCCGGGCCGTTGGTTCCCCTCCTCTGCAATCCATACAATCCCGACAGGACTGATAAAAGGATGTGTGCAGCTGGCGAAGTCGATTTGAACAATGCAACTCAGGTAAAAATGGCACCTTTTTGTAATTAGACTGAACCCTCTTAAAAAGCTATGCATTTACATAAATGTGCAGGTTTATAGACATTACGAGTGCCGAGTCTCCCAAAGCAACATCTGCACGACCGTGGGCCGCCTAACCCCTAGCTTGTACGATGAAGTGGGCCGGGCCGTGAATGTGAGCTATGGGCTGTACCATTACGGCCCGTTCTTGAGCGATTTGGCCGACTGCACGTTTGTTCGGGACACGTTCACCACCATTTACGACCGTCATTGCCCTGGTTTGAGGAGATACAGCCAGTGGGTTTACATTGGTCTGGTTATGGTCTCGACTGCAGTCTTGCTATCGTTGATATTTTGGGTGCTCTACGCTCGAGAGAGGCGGCACAGGAAGTACACGAAGCTCGTGGATGGCCACGTCAGCTCGGGCGTCCGATGAGAGGAAGGGGCCATGAGAGATTTTACAATTTGTCTGCAGTGAAAGAAAAATTTGAATACAATCTGTCTCTTGGTTTTTTGCTTCTGGTATATAGTGTTTGGTGTGTTAGCAGATATTTGTTTAGTTTTTTTTTTTTTTTTTTTTTTTTTTTT